GGAGGAATAAGCACGTTTAGGAATATTTAATGTGCAGTGAAGTCGACTGTGATAACATGGCTAAGCTACCGTCGACATAGATCAGGTTTTGGAGTCGTTGGAACAATCTACTTGGTGACAACTGACAAATTTGACGCGAAAAGAGTGAAGCATGCAGGGGATGACTAAAAGACAAATTTGTCAATGGTTTGATCGCGGATCGTAGATTGGCTTTTACCGCTGACAGCAAACAGCGAATGCATATGCAATGTGGCCATAAAATGAATAAAGCCGGGACAAAACTTGAAACACTCGGGACGCCGATGTAATGATACCAAACAGGAATAATTCTCGGCACATCGGAACGTAATGTTACACCGCCAGGGCAACACTGGCGATCTGTGACGGTCCTGGTCAAACCTGGGGCAGAATTTTAAACCACCGGGACAACAACGTTATGATGTCAGACCAAACTGAGATACTCCTGTTGAGACTACAACATAATTAATTACCCATAGAGATAAGATATGGGACTCTTAGAATTCATGAAGGCAAGTCCAATCGTATAGGGGTGTTACCATGTAAAATGAGCACCGACTAAATCTAATCCTAACCCCCTATGATATTGGACTTTCCATGAAGACTCTCAGATCGCCGAGATAAGGTGAACTAAAAATGTAGTACCCAACAGTGCCAAACTGGACAACCCTGGTCAAACGAGGTTTACACGATTGTAAATTGTCGGGACACTGGGTCAGCCTTTCTAGAACAACTGGTCGAACTAGCGTATGACAGGCCTACCTATGGACACGCCCTGGGTGCAGTGATGTTGTAAGCAATTCTAGCTTATTAAACTGAGCACAATTTAAAAAAAAAATGTTCCGTCTCAGCTTAGGGAGACGGAATCTGAGGGCTCATGTCGCTTTGAACCTGCCCGTCCCCTTCAGTTTATGCTTCCCACCTCACACCCCCCCCCCCCACCCTTTTTTTTTTCAGCACCCCTCCCCCGGTCATTTATTATTGAAGTTAACTTTTAGGCAATTTGATTATACATTTCATATTATTTCAAAAATACTTATTTGTGTTTCAAACAATATTATTTTTATTATTAATCACCTAAACAAGCATAGGTCCATAGCTACCCCCTTCCCAACCCCAACCCTCTGTCAGCAATGTTTTCTTTGTACACGTGCCCTTGTTCTCGACAGCTTAACGGACACTATTAATAACCTGAATCCATTAATTATTATGACCTACAAAGGTTGCTTAGCCTACGTGTCATTTCAAACAATCATATTTATCTCATGTTGATTTAACATGCACCGATTAGTCCGGGAAATTGCCTACAGGGACATGCTTGTCAGTCGCCTACTGTACACAGTCAACCCAGATAGAGTCAGACGTGTTGCCTGCAGGCGTGCGCTACCAAATGTCACGTCACGGCTCCCTTTTACAATCTAACGACGTCAGCGGTAAATTTTTGACGGTGTTATCTAGGTCACAGGCTAGCGTCTTTCTCTCCCTAACTTTTCCCCTCATGTTCGTGGAAAATATACATCAGACATTTGCAGTTGGTAAAGTTCATCGGCGACGGGGTGGCTCATTGTCTCGCCGGTAGACGACTTCGTCGCCGGTCGGAATAGTATTTGGATTTGTCTGCTCTGATCGCATCAACAATGCAGGAGTCATTTTCGTGGCTCTTGGCGGCGTGCAATACTGAGCCATTTTACATAGCCCCCATTTTTTTATAGTCGCAATTATAACCCAGAGCTCCTCCTTCGGGGATGCTGGTTAAATATTACTTGTTATTCTCTCCAGCAAAGCAAAGATAGTAAAGTTATTTCTATATGCTGATTGAGGCTGCCTAGCAGGTCCTATGCAGAAGGCCGCTCTCATCGCAGCTCGCCTGAAAGAAGTTCGGTGTCTCGCTAGCTCTCCCCAGTCGTGAATGTTCCCACCCAAGGTGTCTCTTACATTATGTGCCTATGTTCGTATTGCCTCATGCCCCTCTTTCCTGGCACCATGCCAAACACTACTGTACTTTCCAATCTGACTGGACGTTTGAAATGGCTAAAATGTTCTATTTTCCGAGACATATAGTCGTTTGTAAGCCTATCTTTCTTTCGGTACAGATCTTTTGAGATATAAGTATTACTTTTCTGCTCCAGTACGACGGATGTATTCAGCAGAAAAAGCGGGAAGGAATGTAAGCGTTACAAGATAACTACCGACATTGAATCTGCTTGCGCATTAAATGATCAACAGTGGCGAGCTTTTGAGTGATTGAAATGATTCTTGGTTAAAATGAGCTAAGAATCGACATCACAGCAGCACTCGTATCATTCTCATAAGCATCCCCCCCCCTCCAATCTTCAGCAGCAAACGCAGAGTTCCAGATTCGATGGTACACCGTTTGCCAGTAACAGTCTAACGGTCTGTCCGTCTCGCCCCTTCCCTGTGTGTTGTACGTCGGTCAGACCCTCTGGTCACCTCTCGTTCGCTGCACCATTCTCTTCATACCGTAATGCTCACGTGTTCCCAAAGGGGGTTCAGTAATGAAACTCACTGAAATTGAAGATGCACATAGAGAAAATGTGTTCCACTATTTTACGGTTTCATCATCATCAAGTGCCTTGCCAGCTGGCGTTCATGCATCTCTAATAGATCTAGGTTCTAGATCAATTCCCCTGATGATATTCCTCCATGCCACTGTCTTAAGCCATCGACAATAATTTCTCTTGGTCTGCCTTTGCTACCAGTGATCTTTCCAGTTATCACGATTTTTTTCCAGTGCTCCTATTCTAATTACCTGACCAAAGAACTTTGTCTCCATCTCATTGTTGTTTGTAATGTCTTACTTTCATTAGCCATTTCCAGGCAATCATTGTTAATTATTCTGGCAGCCCAAGGTATTCGCAAAATTTTCTCAAGAACCACATCTCAGTTGCCTCCAAATTCTTCTTTATTTATTCAACGGTTAGCTGTTGAAATTGTGGCTTCTTCTTTGATTTTGGACTTCCCGTGGCGTTGGCGGCTTGACCCCCACCTGTGGATCGGAAGGTCGTTGGTTCGCGTCCTGACGGAGCCGGACTTTGTCAAAAATGACTTTGACTCCTAGGTCGACCCAGCCTTAAGTGGGTACCAGGTGAAGTCCTGGAAAGTAAAGGCAGCCGGCGTGGTGCTGACCACATCACCCAGAAATTTCTGACTGTTCTATAAAAATATAGGTCTAGCCCTATACTCACAATACGTCTAAGGGACCTTTTTTTTTTAATTTGTTGAATTTAAAACGATCCGAGAATGTGTCCACAGTACAGTCCAATATTTTCGACGATGGTAAGAGCGGGTTTCTCGGCATTTTGATGCCTCTAACTACCCCAAAACATCTAGAACTGAGCCTAATCCCAACCCACCTACGTCCCACGAGAGAGTGGAGCCTAGATCCCACGACTGCATGCAGCCTATCTACCACCCACTAAAATATTCGACTGTCTGTTTATGGGGGTGAGAAGGTGTAGAGACATTGGGATAGAACCGAACTGTAATTTCTCACTGTATATTCAATGTCCGGAATAAGACGTTTCATTGATTTCCATGTCAACCCAGCCATAAATGGACCCTAAGTACAGTACTTTTGAGCCGAAATGCTATAGAAAGATTCTCAGAATATATTGGACAAAGAAGAGGAGAAAACTGACACCTGGAAAGATCTGAACATCAAGGAAGATTGGCTAATCATAGCATCTTGTCCCGGAAGCTGAAATATTTTGGTCATATCAAGCGCCACGACGAATTGGAAAAACTTATAGCAGAAGGCATGGTACCAGGAAGGAGGGACAGGGGCCGACCGACACAAAGATGGGCACAGGATATGACTCCTTGAGTATGAAAGTATATGAGGCAGGAGAACTGACGAGAGACCGAGTTTCTTTCAGGCAGACTGTGAGGAGAGCGTCGTCCTGCAAAGGATCATCTACATGATGATGATGGTGGGTTTTGGGGCCCCATTGATGGGAAAACAGGAAGAGATCAATTGCTCCCTATTCAGCATGTCGTAAGAGTCGACTAATTAGGGGCTTTCTTCAAATTCGTAGCGAATCTGTCAGAGAGGCAAGGAACCAACAGTCTGCAATCAAATAAGCTAGATCTGTCAAGCGGATGCACATGCAAAACAACTTCTGGAATAAAATTAAAGTCCAGAAGTGGACGAAAGGTCAGAAGTGATCACTGAAGTTTACAGCCGACGAACGCAAAGAAGACGAAGAAGTATGCAGATTCAACGTTCAGCTATGTTGTATATTGTTCATATCTTACAGCGCTGTTCTGGTATGCTATCTGCACACTGGCTTAACTTCTAACCTGATTAATAAGGTCCCCTACAGATAAGGCTCTGTTTGCATACTGCACGCACATGCCATAAAGTAATAATAGGAATCCTCTTGTACTGTCCACTTAAGTCGTGCTGATTTAGCACTCAACAGCGAACTGCTAATGACACCCAAAGCACAACGCTGGTTGATTAATGCAATGGTATTCTTAGAACAAGATACACATTGATTAATTATCTCAGCATTTGCACAGACAACTACAGAGCAGACAACATCTATCACCCCATGAATAGTCAAACAAACGAGACCAGAAAACTTCATTGTATTTTCATTAGATGAGAGACATTGTTTCTGAAGGGTGAATTACCACTATATCGTATGCGTCGCCTTATCTTTCAATTTCACTTTTAGAATAAGTCTTAATCTGAATAATTATCTCATGTGTATAGAACCCACACAGAAGACCATATGAAATATTACAGGCAAACTCAAACAAACAAGATCATACACACACTTGTTTAAGTTGTTTTATTAGATATAACATATAACGGGTGAACAGTAATAACTAATAATATTAGTAATATATGCGTATGTTTCCATATAGAAGAGCCAGAGTGTCTTCCCTTGTATATTTCCGCTTCTGATCCAATATGGTTTCTCTGTGATAGGCAGTCGAGGGACTTAGTCAGAGACATGGAGAAAGTTGTTAATTTGGAATACAGGGGCGAAGGAAATTGTGCAATAGTTTTCGCGGATCCACAGGTAATAATAGGTTTAATTTTATCGTCCAGCTTTTATTATATTATATCTTTGTTGTTTTTTTTTCATTTACATTGGTTCTTTTTTCGGGTTTCCTCAACTCAAGTCAATTAGTTCAGATGAGATGATTGTGATTGATAATTTAAATATAATATAATATATATACTCATACATTTATTTAATGTTGTTAATATTATAAATAAGTTGTTATAGTTATTAAGAATGTTCAGACCGTGATACTGATACGCAATAGCAATAGTTTTCGCTCGTTCGCCTGTAATAATGCGAGCTTTATTTTTTTATCAACCATTAATGATTATAGTGAACATGCTTTATGTTGTTGTTTACCGCCCACCACAGGGCTCTTAGAAATTCGAAGCATATAAATTGTAGAGTATATAGTTATTTTAGCATTAATTTCAGTCACCCTTATATGGGTTTTAGTATATAGTTATATATACACATCCAGTTTAAGTGTAGTTACATTTTACAGTTGAGTCTTCGACTTCAGTTTTTGTCTACATGTCATTGAAGTGGGAGCGGAAGCATTTAAGGATCTTTTGTGTGCTCTTTCCAATTCAGTTCCTCATTGAATATGTTTAAAAGTTAGTTAATCTTCACCTATTCTTGATCCCATCGTTCTAGGTCTGCCTTGCCTTCCCCTTGCTTATTATAGTCTGTCCATTATATTTGTTTATAAGTCGGCTCTCCTGTCAACTTAGGCCATTAGCTGGACTGCCGCCGATAGCTTAGTGGGAGTTCTCTCCCTTGGCTGCATTGATCTCTTGCACTTAAATTAAAGTGTATGAATAAAAATATAATAAACTGCTGTTAAAGAAAAAAAGTCTAAAATTAGTGACATACTTGACCTAGGACAATCAAAGTCATACGGTTGTGTGTTAAAAACTATTATTATTATATAATAAATGTTGCGTTTTAGTTTATCATACGGTTAGTGGCTTAATTTGCACCTTTTAGCGTTTATCATGAATTACGGCTATGCGTGCTGCTTTTTGCGTGTGTAGTAAACATACGGTCATCAATAGGTTCCTGAGCATGTTTAAAGCGCGTTAGGAGCTTGAGTTTTGCCATACAATGTGTTAGGATTAGGGTTAGGGGTACCCAGGGTTATTTGGAGATGCTGTTCATCCATTTCCTGATTCAATCTCTAGGAGTTTGGCCAAATAATGTCCGACAATCCTGGACGACTTAGTCAGAGTTCTCTCCCTGGGCGCCACTGCGAACAAATTCTCCAACGAAATATGATTACCTATCATCATACGGTTGCATGTAGCGTGCGTACGGTTGCGTAAGGCATCGTGAAGGGATGCGTGGTCATCATCGGTTCGTGCAGGGTTGCGTACGGTTGCGTGAGGCATCGTGAATGGTTGTGTAGTCTCATGCGGTTGTTTGGGTTAGAGTTAGGGGAGGCGAGGGTTAGATGTGACTTTTGACGTAGGGTTCGAAATACTGACCGACAATCTGATGTTTGTGGGCGCTACGCCCTGAAATTCTGCTATATGCGCCAATATTGTTCGGCTGGTGCATTAAATGTGCATTTGACAGCATCCAGAGGCCCTCAATTGTTTGTGTGTGTATGTCACTGTCGGCGTCGCGAAGTTGGTCTGGTGGACTACTACCTCGTGCATATAGAAAAAAAACCTAATTTTCCCCGTTGCGTCAAATCGCCAAGCAGTCAGATAGTCGTTCCCGGAACTAAGTGCGTCGGAAGAACGATGTTAGTTGTTGTGCGTCTAACTGCCATTTTTGATCGTTTGTGATTGGCTTTTCCGATCACGTGTTTGGAGTGCGCCAAGGGAGAGAACTCCCACTAAGTCATCCACGGCTTTCCATTCTTCGGCCTAATTTGACAGGAGTACCCCCACTTTTTTCATTCCCTTTCTCTTGCTGTCTTGCCCTCAGCTCTTTTCCTTCAGTATAGTTTATAAAAAAGAAAAAAATTATGCTTTTTAATGTGGCTAACATTTTTGTTGTTGTCTTTTTTTCATTTTTTTCAGTAAGTCTCTTCTCAGTCACAGTCTCTCCAGAACCTCTGTATTTGATTGTTTTTGTTTCAATGAAATATGACCTATTCTTCTGTATATCCATATTGACAAAGGCTCAGTGTTCTAGTTTAAAATCATTACATACCACCAGTATATCTATATATATAAAAATCAATGTTTGTGTGTTTGTTTGCCCCCTATAGACTTGGAAACTACTGAACCGATTTAGCTGAAATTTTCAGTATATGTTTGTTTTGATACCAGATTTTGAACCATCATGGTTTGAAATTAAACCTGTCACTGTTAGAGATAGGTGACCACAATTTAATCCATAATATCCGAAACTAATATTTATACCTTTAGTGATTTCTAATTATAGCCACGTTATAATTGCAATGCACCGTAGTTACCGTTTCGCCGGCGAGTTACGTGCAGCCAACGCCTTCTCTAATACATAGAGTAGGTCGTGGTACAGCAAACAAGACTATCTCTATATTTGCCACAATAACCATATTAAACACGATTTCTATTTTCTGTTTTTTTTTTTTCAAACAACCTTCGATTGGGGGGAGTTAATTCTTTTAGGGGGGGGCATCAATCAAGGACTATCTCGACGTCGGCGCAGACAGTGACTGCGACATTAACTTCTTAACCGTGTTAGACACGTGCGATTTTATTGTTGTGCCGTTTCATTAATATATCTGGAGTATCTGTCTACGAGAAAACAATTGCCTGCGGTTTTGAATGTTTTTAATCGCGACACAAGTAGTAGGGACACACATCTCTAATAGTTAAGTTATCTTTTCGTTCATCCGATTTCCTGCTTGGTCGATGGTTAAAACTCACTGGGTTCCTTGCAGGAGACCTGGGTTCGAATCTGCAGCAGTAAAATTTTTTTTTTACCCCGGACTAAAATAATATCCTCATCTCTCTGTCGTACAGCACTAGCCATGTTGCCTTAATTTAAAAAAAAAAAGTAAATGGGTAAACCATTGATAATTAAATTTGACTATTTCGCATACTTATGATGGCATTTTTAAACTTTCCGATTGCATGTTACGCTGAAATTTCATAGATTTTCATTTATTTTTATTTCGATTTAGTTATTTCATCTGCGTTGGAATTTTACAGCTGTGCTGTTTACCATGGCGTTCATTTCCTAATGGTATTTTTTTTTTTTCCTGTGTTCATTTGCTTTTCAAGTGTTTTTTTTTCTTCCAACTACTTCAATGAGGGAAAGAGTCCGGTGAATTGGTGGGGGGGGGGGGGGGGGGGGGGGGGGCAAACTATTAACTGAGAGAGCTTTAAGTCACAGTAACTGCTTTACCCTCTTAACTCTTTCAGGCCCATGAATTTTGACAGACTTGGCCCACATTAATTTCCCTTTACAAAAATGGCAGAGGGGTGGGTGTACAAGAAAGGCTGTAGATATTGTAATATACTTCTAATCCCTATAACAGTATATATTTTTTTAACGAGAAATGAGTGTACATTCTGAATCTGATGATAAGTGTTTGTTTAATTTTGTTATATTCAGTGGAAAAGAAGAATTCAGCAGGTGTTAATTTCACAAGGACAATATTTCACAAAAAAATTTCACTTACCATGGTTTTGCAGCCACAAGAATAGTAAATCCAAATTTGAGAACAAAACTTCAAAGTTTGTTCAATTTCCTAACATATTCTAAAGTTATGATAACTTTCTTGGTTAGTTGTACTCAGGGGCTAAGTTACCACCGAGTGCTAAGCAAAAATTTCAGAGAAAAAAATGGCAGAAAAATGAGCCATAACACACACACTATTTACTATTCACTTTGTACAGTTATTTTACAGACTGTAGCTGCGATGATTTCAATGTAGATTAGCCATAGTATAGTACTATCTCTTTGTTTAGAGTACTTTCCTTGTCTTACACCATAAATACGGTAGTATGGGACATTGTCTGTGTAATAAACTCATCAGAATCGCTAGATTCCGAACAGCTGATCGCTCAGCTTCACTGGTGAAAATTCACTGTCCGAATCACTTTCCGAAAAATCTAAATTTTTATTATCATTATCACAATTAAAAACATCTGACTGAAACAATTTCAGAGCTACGGCCACAGAAAGACGCATTCTGCGACCTGTTCTTGTGGTTAGAACATTGGTATTCAGTGCACTCAAAAACGAACTTAGAAAATAAACGTTTAAAAAATTTTGATGTTTTTTTCTCACAGATTATCCACGTGTGGTTTAGTCCAAGAACCGAAACTAAAAGGATTTCGGCAGAGTGTCTTTCCCTGAATAGGTTTTTCGTACCTCCAAACATTAGAAACTAGTACGAACGCGCATGCAAAGCAAAATGTAAGAGATACACGATTAACGATGACACCGTTGTTTGGGCAGAACGGAACTTCTCAAACTACGCTCACACCGTTGTTTGGGCCTTAAAGAGTTAAAGTAGCAGCAGCAGTAATAGTTGTGGTTGGGCTGTTACACCATAGTGCTCTCATGTGAAGACCGCCGGTAAGGTTATGGCGTTCTTCTGTCGGCAAGTGAAATTATACATCCTAACCTGACCAGTCTGTGGGGACAGCACTAGTCATGCGGAACCAAATCTTCTGGCTCACGACTCTCTGTCTACTCCGATGGTAACACAGAAAGCAGTGACATTATTTTAGTAGTTGTACTGGTACTTGAAGGATGATGTGGTAAATATTACACTAGCCCCATTCACTACCTATTACAATTCCCGCTCCCTATTTTAGTCCAGATGGACAGGGATGTCAATGTCAGTTACAGCAACAAAAAAATATCGCCAGGTAGTGATTTTCAAATCCTTTGAAGAGGGAGAGAGCAGTAGTCGGTGGAAGAGGGGAGGGGGTAATGACTTAAATTTAAGAGAATTTAAAGAGCTTTACACGTGATTTTCAAGTTCTCATTACCTAATTTGTTTATATTTTACTAACGCTACCTCCGCTTTTCTATTTTTTACGACTTACTTTGGTTATTCACAAAGTACAGTTGTAGCTTTACTTCCGTTCCCTATAAAAATACAAACAGCTTTAGCATGTGATAACCAAATAACCATTTTTGTTACTGTGCTAATAACACCATTTAAACGACCACTAATATAAAGACACAATTATAAGGTGCGTGTTCTAAAGTTGGAAAACCAGACTATCTCTATATCTGTGCAGAGAATGATTGCGACATTAACTATATTAGACGCATGCGATTTCCATTGTCTTTCTTTTCCAAAAACCTTTGATGAGGGAGAGAGTAGTAGGTGGATTTAGTTGTGGTGGGGGGGGGGGGCGGATCAAAGACTATCTCTATATCTGAGCAGACAATGATTGTATTAGACACGTGCGATTTCTATTTTCTTTCATTTCCATTTAGCCAAACTATGCCACAGCAACGCGTGGCCGGGTACAGCTAGTAGAGTTATAAGTTCAACTCTTAGACTACCAAAGAATTTACAACCAACCAGCCTCGCTATCAAGCCATGCCTGTCCTTGCATCTTAACCCCCACCACTAATGCCATACTGATCCTTGAACTCCTATCCATGACAATTCACCCACAGCCAGCCCCATCATCTTGTCGCACAGTAGCACTCACCTACCCTGAGTCTTTAATTTCCTGGTACCCATTTAAGTCAGCGTTTGTGGCTAAGGTGTTGTGAATGCACTTTGTAAGCCTGAGCTGAAGGCTTTAATCCTAGTTGAAGACAATTTGTCTTGCATTGCGTTGGTTTCGACAGTGGTACCGATAGCTGACTGTTCAGGAAGCATTGACAAACTACTGAATGAAAAATGTGCCTAGAAAAACCACAACGGCCAAAAAACGCTGGGGTTGGTTCTGCAACATCCTATAATTGATTCAAAACTAATTGAAACAATTTTAAACTGGGTCACCCAGTCTCCACATCAAGGGATTAAAATGCATACCCACTTTTCCCTATATGGGTTCCTTGACCCCCATTTTGGGTGAAACAGAGAATAGACCCCCTGCTCTCCTAACAAGTATGTAGTAAAAGGCAACTAATTAAGGGGTGTTTCCTTTGAAGTTGGAATGCATGTACCTGAGAGGTAAGTAACCAGCAGTCTGCATATTTAAAAAAAAGTTAAGTTTGTAAAAACGGATATGCATGCACAATTCCATTTCTGGAACAACACTAAAGTTCAGAAGTGAATGAACAGCTAGAAATTTCAACCGGAGTTTACACCCGGTGAACGCTAAGGAGAAGAAACAACCACATGCCTGGTAGATCAGTATGCTAAACAGTGCACTTTTAAAGCTCCCAGGAAGTTAAGCAAGAGTTAACAGCAAAGTTGTTTGGGACTTATTCTACTTGATGAGTATTAGTGCTGACAATGAGATGGTGAGGACATTGGATGCTTCCAAAGATGTGGTAATGCATATCAAGTCAGATTTTTATAATTTACCTGCACCTCCTAGGTCAGGGCTATTCAACTAAGTTTGCTCGGGAGCCAAAATATTCAAAACGAGGATCGCCACGGGCCAGAGCCCTCAGCCCTAGCATAGAAAGATCGAAAATACAAAACGGCTAGAAGTGATCCGCGGGCCACTTGCTAGGTCTTGGCGGGCCAGATTTGGCCCGCGGGCCGCCAGTTGAATAGCCCTGTCCTAGGTTAGACCCAGTTTTAAATGGGTCAAGACTGAGGTCACAGGGTCATGGCATGACCTGATACATGTGCATGTGAGTTTTTTTTTTTTAGGTTCCTGGGAATGTATTCAGTTTATTGCTTCAGTCTTTACCCATTTAATGGATTAATTAAAAAATAACATTGAGGGGGTTTAAATGGGTACCAGGAAATATCATGGGAAGTAAATGACCAGCATGATGTTGCTCACAACACTTATCATGAGCTCCTGTATGCCAAGTTGGCCATTGGGATGAAAATGGTCTCTTCCTTTTTTGTACAAATCTTTAGACAATCTGATGTTGGAATTTTTCTGTACCCAATGTAATAACTAAGTAGTTTTATATGGTGTTAATATTTACATCGGCAGACAAATCATGTTTACAGACTAGTCAAATATTATGCCACCCGTAAGATAAGGAAACTGCTGCAAAATGGATTCAGTAGTGGAACTCACAATGACATGAAGGTATGTATTTTGGATTTATTTGAGCAGGCATGTTAGTCTTGTATTTATTTCTACATAAATGTTCTTCTTCCTGTTTCATTTTGACAAGGATGTTGATTGCGTAGTTATCTGTATGTTTATGTTATTTTCTGTGTGTGTGCAGAGCTATTATTCTGGGTATATGCAAGTATACCTCATATGCTTTACTTTTTGTAAGCTAACTTAGCACTTCCACCCTTAAAAGCTGAAAAACCGACACTTCCGTTTGGGTCCAGTTTCCCAAAAAAGTCACTTTTCCGGTTTGTAGTTGCTTGTTTACATGACGCATAGTTAATGCTATTGACTGTTTCCACGGATGCGGAAACATTTAGGAGGTCATAATATGAATACATTATTTTTTTTTAAAACATATGGGGGCTTTCCCTTGAGAAAGATACCTTTTTTAAAGCCAAGTTAACTCAGATTTTTCCATACTGCTCATTGATAGAGGTCACAGGGTCATGGCATAACCTGAAATACATATGTGTTTGTGTGTGTGTGTTTTTAAGTTCTAGGGAATGTATTCAACTGAGTGCTTTAGTCTGTTTATTGATTACTTTCTTAGAAAATTTCTTAGTGATCTATGTAAACTTTTTTTAGGGGTGGAGGGTGGCATTCCGGTGGGGTAATTCCCCCCCCCCCCCTTTTTTTTAAAAAAAAGTATTTTCGAGGTAACAGTGTCAAGTGATATAATTGTATACATTTGAATTCCTTATATTATTATAACTTTTAAATTAGTTTGTTTTGTGTGAATAAAAAATTATGTTTCCACCCAAGGCTAAATTGTTGCAACAGCACACAGCCAAGAATGATATGGACATATTCTGGTGTCTGTCATCCTCCCTGTCTTAGTTAATTGCAGAGGTCAGGAGCGACATGACCTGCTGAGTTTCTGATTGCCCTGTGGAGTCTGTCAACACCATAAAGAATCATAAACCTGTGAGGTCACATAATTCTGTTTAAAAGGCAGCCTACCAAATTATTTTTTCCTAGGGGGAAAAGTCTGTGTGTGCACCTACTTGCATGCATCATCATCTTCTTATTTTCCATGCTTTGTGATGTTGGTAGTCTTGTCTGTCCACACTTCTGTGTTGTGTACTTTCAGTAATTTCTTACATAAATAATCTTCCCTGTCGTAATTTAACTGTCCAGCATCTTCTGTCTCGATCTCCTCTTGCTTCTTTTCCTGTCTAACTTTCCCACCGCCCTAAGGTACTCCAGTTTTCTTCTCCTCATGACATGACCGAAGAATGCAGACTCTCTCTTTCTGATATGTGGGTAGTCAGTTCTCTGTATGTGTTAATTTCTTCAACACATTTTTGTGTCTGTCCAGGGTGTTTTTATCGTTCTTCATAGAACCACATCTCTACCATTTTGTATATTTTTTCACTAATGGGTTAAGTGTCCCCATGCATAGATTAAAGAAATTTGTTTGTGTATCAGTTTGTAATGGTATATCTATGCCAGAAAGGGGGGGGGGGGTGAGCTAATTATGTTCTTTGAAGTAATATTATCATCTTGGCATGCGAAAAAGGTGTTCCTTTCATCCTCCTGTTTTATATTATTTTACAAATGTGATTTTCTTCTTGTCGCCTTGATTTTTTTTTTTAAACATAATTATCTGTTGATAATTAAACTGCCTTTTGTGCTAATTACGAGTTATGAGCTTTCTGAGTAAAGTATGCTTCGTTATTTTGAGCAGCTCATAAAGTTGTTACTGTCTCCTTCTGAAGATTGCTTACCTGGCTATAAAAAAAAACCAGACTTTGCCTTGACGTATTTTGCACGTTTCTTTGTAACCAGTTGTTACTCTGAAATTTGAGATGGTTGGTTCATTTTGTTTATGATTTATGATTCTCCTTCTTCTTCAGGTTTACTGGCTGTAAACTCCAGCAGAAAGTTTTGGTTGTTTGTTCACGTCTGGATTTTAGCTTCGTTCCAGAATCTTCTTCTTCTTCAGGTTCAGTTTCTCTGCTCAGGATAAAACCGTTAGGTGGGTAGCCTCTATGAGCTCACATGTCAGTTGCTGGTCCCTCATGGTTCCCTATAGATTGCTCTGCACACTTTGTTTTTGAGGCCAGGTTTCTTTTCGAAGTTGTAGGTAGAGTGGGCAGGTCTGCAGAATGTGGTCAGGTCTAGCAGGCACACTTGTGGGGACTGTAGTCTTTATTTTATGCATGTGGCCTGCAGTGTTTTGTTTGTAGATGGAAATTGTTGTATGTTCATTTCTGTTGAGTCTGCTGATGGGGTCTTGTGGTTGTTTACTGTTGTTTTGTTCTCTCCACAGTTTCTTTTATTTTCCTTTGATTTCTGATAATGACAATGAAAAGGTCTGTTGTTTATCCTGAATTTTGCCTACACATCTGTTTTACAGATCTGGCTTATTTATATGCATACGGTTTGTTCCTCACCCCTCAGTCTTATTAATCACTTGAATTCTTGTTGACCAATGTATTTCCTATGTGTGATAGTTTAGCTGTGAGTTCTTTTAACATTTTATTGCTTCACTGTGTTTATTATTTACAGATTATTTCAAAATAACAGGGAAATTGAAGTTGTGGGGCGAATATGTAATTTGTAGATATGGTGTGAAACTGGCCCTACCATTGTATTATTAGGGGAAGCAAATAATGGTAACACTACATCCTACTAGCCATGTCCTATGGAGAAAGGGATTGGGGTAGGGTTAAGCTCTGGATTTGCTACCTTATCTCATTAGGGTGGGGGGGGGTAGGGGGGTGCCTCAGACTATGGCTGAGCTTTGGATTGGCTACTTCAGTAGCCACACGAGCACACAACTATGAACAAGCTGAATAGAGATTAAAAGTGGGATAAGCTGCATAGAGTTTGAAAAGGATAGGTTTAGTGGAACAGTTTGTTACGAGCCCAGGCTATGTTTGGGTTAAAGGGCAGAAGAAGAAGAAGAAAAAAAAAAAAACTAGCCTTACAGCAGAGATTTAAACAAAAAAGTGAAAGTAAAGGACCTTGTTCCAGGCCTTTCAGGCGTATTGAGTATATAGGGCTAGACCTGTATTTTATACACCAGCGGAACTTGTTGGGTGATGTGGTCAATATCATGAATGCTGCCTATACTTCCCAGGACTTTACCTAGTACCCACTCAAGGCTGGGAGTCAAGGTAATTTTTGAAGAAAAAAAAAATGTCAGGCCCCCATCAGGAACCAAACTTATGATCATCCGATCAGCAGGCAAGCGTCTAGCTGCTAGATCGTGGCAGCTCCCTTGCAACAGAGATAGCTGTGCTGTATTTGGAAACCACACTGGTTTAGGATTTACCAGAGAAATAATAATTTAGCAGTGTTAAAGAGTAAGTGCTGGCCCTTCCTGGCAAGGAAACTGCATTAGCACAATGTTTTGCCTTCTGACTTGAAGGTCTTGTGTTCAAGTTCCTACAGCGGTGAGTTTTTATAATTGACCTGGGCTCACAAGCTGATAGAATGTTGACCACATCACCCCCCAAATGCTGATTTGTCTGTAAAGATATGAGTCTAGCACCCTAAGCTCTGTGTGCCAGGGATGTGAAAAGGGGTCCTTTACTTATCACATCCTTGAAAAGGAAATATAACCTTCTCTCTTCCTCCATGCATTGAATCAATGTTTTCTGTTTTCTCTGTTGGGAAAGATATAAACCAAGATAATTACAGAGAATAAACCTTTGTACTGGACCTTTTTGCGAATATAGTAAAATAAGTACACCTTCACACGTGTGAAGTCAGTTGAGAAGCAAAACAGTGCAGAATAGAAGGCCTCGAGTTAATGGACTGTTAGAGTCTAAAAGGGTGAGAATACAATGGAGGCTATCAGTTTACAAGACACTTGGGAATGAAGAGGCTGGCATATTGACAAAAGAAGGTAGGATATCTCAGCATAATATGGAAATACGACTAGAAGTCAGAAAGTAATGCCCCACTTTCCCGCCCTCAGCAAATAATAAAGATAGAAATAGGAAATTTTGTGCAGTTTAAATTTGAAATGTCAGTATTGTTTTTACAAAATAGCAACTTATTCTGACAGAAAGGGACAGCTGCACTTGTACATCAAAATGCTGAATGAGGGCAGTATGTGTTATTGATGTAGAACTTCTGTATGCAGAAAAAGAAACTATGATGAACATTCAGAAGCATTTTTGTGCAGTAAATAAAAAAAAGTTCTGCAGTCAATAGAAGCACGGATGGTCGCTGGGGTCAGAGTTGAAAGCTTCAGATTAGTGGAGACAGACTTAAGAATGTTTAACATGCTGTAAAGAAATAACTACATGGACAAGAAAACCCTGATAAGGCGAGACAGGAATGCCCTACTTCACACTGGCATTAGGTCATAGCTACCTATGTACTAGTTCTGACCTATGACTGTGAGTCATGGGCAATGACAACAGCTGACAAAAGCCAGCTCCAGGCCTCAGAAATGAGGTATCTGAGAAAAGTGGTCCAAGTGACAAGAAGGGACAAAGTCTGCAATCAGACAATACGTCACAATCTTGGTACCTAGTCCTTACCAACCCGAGTGGATCAGTCACCGTTACGATGGTTTGGACATGTATGCAGAATGGGGGGAAAATCGGCCACCATGGCAATCATGGGAGGCTAATAACCAGGGAACCAGACCTCCAGGGCGACCCAGGGTGCGCTGGGAGGACAACATCTGACAGTCCATAACTGACAGAGGACTGGAATGGAACTAAGCCAGAAGAAAAACTGCTGATAGAGATGTCTGGCAATCTCTTTGGTAAACCTCTACACCCTAGGGTAGAAGAGGAGTGACTAAGTAAGTCATAGAAGTAAACAGATTGTATAGAAAATGTGTTTATTTAAGGGACATAATGAGGTATATTTCACTGAATTCCCTATTTTGCACGAGCAGTTTGAGAGAAAAAATTGGGGGGGGGGGGGGGGGGGGGGTTACTTCTTGAACGCACCATAAAGTTAATCAGAAACATTTATAGATTCAGTGGAGTCATTGCACCAAAGCTACAAGAAAGATATGATTAATATGACCGAAGTGAGCAGGTAGCGATCTTTAGACTCTGCAGAAGAGGTTAAAATGTCACTTGCTCAATAACATAAATTTAGAAGAGAGTAGGATAAACAAACTGACATGTATTGATTAGCACTCATAGATACAGTGGAGAGGAATGGAGGTTTAACAGTTTGCCTTGTTAATTATCATGCTATTTCAGTGGCCTTGAGGGTTCCACAATGATATTAAGTTAAGAGGTGCTTCTGGATGTAACTTGGAAGTTGGTAAAATATGGCCAAATATGCAGCAAGTGTCCCACATTGTTATTTGGGAGTATAGCCAAACATACACATTCAGAGTGCTAAGCTCTTAAATCAACATCAGGAATGCTAATGCAGCAACAACAGAGAGTGGATTAGCAAAAAGGACATTGGGAGAACAGAAAACTCGTGATTGAAACAAAAAATCTTTGTCTATCATACTCAGCACTCTTCTTTTGGCATTGAAACTTGGTCAACTTATTCACACCAGAAGCAAGGGCTAAATAATTTGTGCATGCAGTTCTAAGAAGATAACTTGGCATTAAGTGGCAAGACAAGATCACAAACACTGAGGTATTGGAAAGAGCTGTTATTACAGCCATTTTCTCACTGCTCAGTCTCTGAAGGCTCAGGTAACTGGGTCACACCTGGAGATTGGAGTGTGGTAGAGTCCCTAAGGACCTCCTCTGTGGTTAATTACAGATAAGCAGAAGATGTCGAGGCCAACCTCTACTACGATACAAAGATGTGTGCAAGTGGGACATGAACAATACAGGTATTGAGGTAGATTCATGGGAACAAAATGCCATGGACCATGTTGTGCGGAGGGAGCAAATCAGAAAAGAAAGGGGAATGAGAATGAAGGAAGAAATTATTGCAGATCAACTTCATGCCTGCTGCTTTTACTTTTTAAGACTTTACCATTTTAGCCTGGGTCGACCTGATAGCCGAGGTCATTTGAACAACAAAAACTCTTGACTCTGTGCAGAATTGAACCCTCAACCTTTATGTCGACAGGTGAGCGGGCTGGTAGCTCAGTGTCAGTTACAACAATTCCCCATTCTGTATAATAACAGTTATTTAATTAGAACATTTCTCATGCACTGCTCATTAGATTTGTCTGTTGTTTGAAAACTATAGAATATCCAAAGTGCTGTGAAATCCAAGTTGGAGATGGTGGTCTCCTACATGACCAATATAATGAGGCCCCTCCTGACTGACCGCTATGTTGTCACACCGGTGAGTGGTCATTGGCCATCTTTGTGTTGTTAGTTGGTTAGGTTCACAGGGTTCTGCTGGTGTGGTTATTTTATGATTTGTAAATAACATGGTGTGTGTCAGGAAAGGGGGGGGGGGGGGTATTTTGAGTGAGAAAAAAAACAAGAATAGACTTACTGTCCCCCTCACAAGCGAGTCATAAAAGGCGACGTATAGATCTGAAATTGGATGTACTGGGATCAAAGGCTCAGATATTATACCACAACACAGCATGCCTACTATCCTTTTAAGTTGTGTGTCTGCCCCCACCACCTCCCACTTACTCATTTAGTACTAAGCAACTCACCCTGCCAGTTTTTTCTTCTCACTGATGATTTAAAAAAAAAAGTTAGTTGTACATCATTTTACAAGACACTGCACAGGCAGCCCCATTATTTGTTGGCTGTATTGTTTAATAGGTAATTTTATACATTTATTAGTTTGGCTTTGCTTTCTGAACAGTTGACTCTTGATACTGTTACTGAAATCAATGCAAAGCAATCTGTTGTCAGATCACTCGCAACTGGAAATGAACCGGATTCCTCAGAATTACAAAACACCCAGGTTACAGATACTGATTTCAACTGATATACATTTTCTAAAGTGCTTGTGACCCGTTCATTAAGGACCATAACCAGTACAGACGCAGTTGCCGCTTTACTTCTTTGTATATTATCATTATAATAAACTGGGAGTAAGTGAAAAACAGTGTAGATTTGTTGAAGGAAAAGCTACCAACAATGCCATATACATCCTCAGGACTATCGGAAAGTACTGTAGAAGTAAATACTGATCTGTACTTGTGCTGCATTGACTACACAAAACTTCTTGATTGTGTGAAACATGAGGAAATAATCCAACTACTATAAAAATGAAACATTGATGGGAAAAGATTTGCGAATAATAAAGAACATTTATTCGTAGCAAAGGGCAGCTATAAGAATTAACAAGTTGGGACATTTTTAAGCATGGGGTAAGAGGGGGGGGGGGGGGGGTGTACAACAAAGAAATATACTAATTTATTTTCGTTATACAATAAATATATAATGAGATCTTTCATAGATGTGCCAGAAATTTGGTTGGTGGTCATAGCGTACAACCTGTACAATGCTGATGACACTGTCTTGATCATGATAAGTCGGAAAGAACTATAGGGATAAGTCTGAAAGAACTATAAGGATTGATAGATAAGGTGGTGTTTGAAAGTGATAAAATGGGCCTCAGCTTGAATAATGCATAGAAAGAAGTAAGGTAATATCAAAGTAAATAATAGTGCCTAAATGTATATAAAAAGTTCAGTCCATGTATTTTAAGACAGGTACAAAAAAATTAAGTATTTAGTCACATGGATAACATCCGACAGAAGATTTAACACAGAGTTAAAGGCCAAAACTGCATTTTATGAAATACAGAACATTTTTGGCAATAAATCCATGTCACTGGAGGTTAGGAAAAAGAATTCTTACATGCAATGTAGAGGCTGTTTTAACACATAACTGAATCCCGAACAGTTAATAAAACAATATCTTGAGGCCTTAAGAGATGGGATTTAACAGAAGAATCCCTATAAAATTCCTTGGGCAGCCAAAAAAGAGCAACCAAGCCGTTTTGAACGAGGTGAGGGCTCAAAGACAATTTATCACAATTATCAGAAATAGACAGTCGCCATTGTTTGGTCATGTTATGAGAAGAAGTAAACTGGATCTTGTGACCACTGGAAAGATCTGTGAAAAAAAAAGGAGATTGAGCCAACGTGAGACAATTCTTGACAGCCTTTTCTCATATCATGGAGGGTGTCAATACATGAACAGGGACATACTGTTTATAGATTGTGGAAAGGCATGATTGCTAACACCAGTTGACTTGGCAATTGGTGGTGATTCTTCTTCAGGAATTCCAGAGAAATTAGACTAAAAAGCTCAACAAAATGGGGAAGCAGAAAAACGTGCACAAAACAACACAACGTAACGTTTCTGCCGGGCAGCCTTTTTCAAACGTAAGTGAACTACACAAACGTAACAACACGAAGAGGAAAGTATGTAGATCTCTAAGGGGTGACGTGAGCAACGTTTAAAAAAATGTGATGTGGAATCAATACAATTAAAAAAAACATAGGGGGCTAAAAAATATAGTCACAAAAATAATAAACAGTAGAATTGTTAATTCCTTGTATTAGCTTGACTGCAGTCACCCCCATTTTTTCACCATGATTCTTCTTCAGCATTCCGAGCCTTTGAGGTTCATTGCTGCAGATATCACCCACCTCCATTTGTCTCTCTGGTTAGCCTTCTCTTTGCAGTTGGTAACACCAAATCTTGGCAGGTCTGTCTGGATATTATCTCTCCATCGTCTTCTTGGTCTCCCTCGTGGTCTTCAACCATTCATCTCCCTGGTGTATACAGTTTTTACTTCTCTGTCATCTGACATTTTTTCAATATGCCCCAACCATTTCAATCTATTAGCTCTCATGTTACTTGGTGGTGATGATGTTTGTAAACTCTTAAGACCAAAAGTGTTGTTCCTAAATTAACAACTTCTTAAATTACAACATGTAACATAGAATATCATCATCATGTACCCTGCCAACTGGCATAGGCGCTTATTTGTCTCCACAGATCATGATCCCTGGTTGACTGGAAAAGCTCTCTTGATGATATCCCCCCATGCCATAATTTTAGCCCATCCAGCATCATCTCTCTTGGTCTGCCTCTACACCCTTTTCCACTGATCTTTCCAGTTGTCTCGATCTTCTCCAATGTCTCTCTTCTCATTATGTGGCCAAAGAACAGTGTTTGTCCCTTTCTTATTGTTGTATATAGAGATCTACTTTCATTAGCCTCTTTCAAGCAATCATTGTTAGTTACTCTGGCCGTCCAAGGTATTCGTAACATTCGTCTCAGACACCACATCTCTGTTGCTTCCCCATTATTTCTATCTATACTTTTCTAAAATAATCTGTCCTTATTTTTTCACATTATTTCTATGTATACTTTTTAAAAATAATCTCTTCTTATTCTTTCACATTATTTCTATGTATACTTTTTTTTAAATAGTCATTTCTTATTCTTTCACATTATTTCTATGTATACTTTTTTTTAAAATAATCTTTCCTTATTCTTTCACATTATTTCTATATATAATCTTTTTAAATAATTTGTTTTTATTCTTTAACAATATTTCTACCAGGTTATGGCAAAAATACCTGAAGGTTATGTGGAACGAGCGGTTGAGTTAGTCGGGCAGGCTCGACCAGGTGAATATTCTGCCTTAAATACTTTCTTTAAAATATATGTGTAATATCTAATATTTACTATTTTAACTGTCTGTTTTGCCTAAGCACACTGTTTAGGAGCCACATGGCAGAGTGGTCAAGTGTGCTCCCAGTTAAGAAAATTGTTCAGGTTCAGTACAGAGTAGAGGCAGGCTTTGATTCTATCAGTTTAGAGGTGGACTCGTGAAAGAAGGGTGTCAGAGAGTTTTAGAATGGTTTTTATTGTGGCCTGGAATGCGTGAAGACGTGTGTGTATGTATATATATATGTGTGTGTGTATATGTGCGTGTGTATATATGTCATCATTTTTGGTCATATTATGAGATGAAGAAAACTGGAACATGTTGTGACCACCACTAGAAGGATCTGTGGAAAGAGGAAGACAGTGCAAGGCAATTCTTGACATCCTTTTGTCATAGCATGGAGGGTTGTTAACAAACTGACACACACAGATTGCGGAGAGGTATGATCGCTCAAGCCATTCTGCAAGGCACTTGATTGTGAGAAAGTATATATGAGAAAAAAAAAATATATATATATATATATATATATATATATATATATATATATATATATATATATATATATATATATATATATATATATCCCTCTTTGATTTCAATAATGGTATCGAGTTCAGAAAGCAGCAAAAAAATAATGGAACGTAAAAATTGCCAGGTAAAGCCACCTTTGTATATGAAACGACGTCTGCCAGCAGAATGGGATTGATACAGATATTAAGGTGGAATCATAGAAACTCGAACCACAGATCACAATACGAGGGGGTGAACATTGGGAAGAGTATAGGGACAAAAGAAGAAAGGATTGCAGATTATAAGCTGAGTGTCTGAAAATAAACATATCAGTTGTGTCTGACTGCAACAATGGCTCTAATGTCTGAGGCACTTATTGCAAAGGATTCTTATTAATGCCAGCAGGTCTTGCTAATCAACTTGCTATCAGCATGGGCTATGATTCCAATGCCTCCATGTAGCACTATATAATACTGTATTACCTGGAAGGACAGAAAGGTGGCCAACCATATACAGCAAAACCTTGTTAAACACACACTTGCTTAAGATGAACACTCAATTAAAATTAAGAACATTTTGGTCCTAGCAGAGATGTGTTCTGTAAGTCCCTAGTTTTATCCCCGTCCGGGTTCCAGGGCCCCATTGTGGGAAAGTCAAGACTAGACCCACTGTTTCCCACCAAGCATGTCGTAAGAGTCGATTAATCATGGGCTTTCTTTAAAGTCAGAATGCGTCTGTCTGAGAGGCAAGGAACCAGTGATCAACATACTGATAATTATAAACTGTAAAATGGATATGCATGCAACACTCAGCAGGTTCTGGCAAAGAAGAATAAAACATACTAAGTCTAGAGGTGGTCAAACAACCAGAACTTTCTGTGGCTGTTTACACCTGGTGAACACTAAGATGAAGAAGAAAATACTGCAGTCTGGAAAGACAAAAGGTGCCAACCTTATACAATAAAATCTGGTTAAACACAAATTCCCATAAGTGGAACAGTCAGTTAACATGAACAAAATTATGATTCCAGCAGGGATGTGTTATTCATAATCCATCTCTTAGTTCCTAGTTAGCGTTTCTCCCAGTCCCTTGTAACTCATGTTATTGAGGTTGTACTTATACTGTTGTGTCCCAGCTGTTTATCTCTAACTAGAGGTTTATGGTCTCTTGAAAATTATGGATCAGCATAAGTTTAGGAATGATCTGAGAACAATCAGATGCTAGATGCACAATCTGTCCATAAATTATGTGTGCTTCAAGATGTATGGGAAATTATACCTGCCCTAATCGACTTCATTTAAAAAATAACCCTGGCTCCCAGGTTATCTGAGTCTAAAATGGGGATACTAGTTGGAGTCCTGGGAAATAAAGGCGGCCTGTGTGATTTTGACCATACACCCACAGAGTGCTTATTGGTCTGTAACACACAATAAAACCTTGTTAACATAAAATCTACAGGACTGAAAAATCCAGTTTTTATTTAAAATAAATTTATGTTAACCTCAGATTAATACATTCCTGCTGGGGCCACTATTGCGTTCATGTTTTACTTTTTAGGTCTAGTACTATATAAACCAGTATGCCTAAGGGAGTGGAAAAAAGGCTCATTTTGTTACTTTATGATCCACTTCATACTTGTGGTAACATGAGTTAGAAGGAAGGCGGATATTAGCTGTGACACTGTGTTTTACCATACATGTTGTCATAGGTGACTTGGGTAGATTTATATGAGATCTTATTGTATAGATAATGTAAGCAGCAAAGTTCAGTCTGCTACAAGTCAGAGATTAGGGTTCTGTCCCAGCGGAGCTATATTACACGACAGGCTGTGGGAAGTCGGCGGTTATTTTAGATGCACTGTCCTGTTGTGTCCTAGTCGAAACTGCATGGCTGATATTGAACTGAGAATATATGGCTGTGAATCGTGGACAGTTAATAAACCAGCCCCCTGTGTGGGTTCCGGGGCCCCATTGTGGGGAAAACAAGAATAGACCCACTGCCTCCCCAAAAGCATGTTGTAAGAGTCAACTAATTGGGGAGCTTCCTTTGAAGACGGAGTGCGTCTGCCAGAGAGGCAAAGAACCAACAGTCTGTATTCAAGAGAATGAGATCTGTAAAACTGATGCACACGCAACACTCAGGTTCTGGAGCAGGACTGCAGTTCAGTAGTAGACGAGCAATCAGAACCTCCCCCCAGAGTTTACAGCTGGTGAACGCTAAGAAGAAGAAGAAGAATAAACCAGCCTCGGAAATATGGCTTTAGAGAAGAATTCCTCAGACAGTCAGAAATAGCAACCCAGATGTTTTAAAGAAGGCAAGGGCATAAAGACAGTTTATCAAAACATCAGATGCAGTCATCATTTTTGGTTTATGTTATGTGAAGAAGGAAATTGGAGCATGTTGTGACCACTGGAAAAATTGGTGGAAAAAGAGACAAAGGAAAACAACATGAAAGATCCTTGATGGCTTTTTGTTATGGCATGGAGGAATATCTGTACATGAACTGATACATGCTGTTGAAGATCGCAGATTGTGGAGAGGCATGAATGTCCGCGCCAGTCGGCAAGGCACTAGATGATGATGGTGATATCGAGCGAAGAAGAAGAAGGAGCAAGTTTTGAAGGGATAAATTAAACATTGAATAATGCATTTGACCATGACATAAATGAATCATCCTTTATAGCATTTGTCTATATAGTTTTGTTGTTTTTCAGCCTACAGAAAGCATTCACAGTATGATGCGATTGATACAGACATTCCATATGCACTAGTTCTTCCAGACTGCTGTTTTGTGCACCATTCAGACACCCGTAAGCTAAAACGTCACACAAACTCTGACAGTACTGAAGCTGATGATTCATTTGAGAGTCCTGGCCCTTCAGATTCGGAGATGACGTTAGCAGACTCACAGAAAATCAACCAGAACAACAGCTTCTGCTCAGGTGACAGTCAGGAGTCGACTTCAGACTTCCACGAAGACAACATGGATGTAAACACATCCACATGTCCTGATGGTGGAGAGGATTCTGAGCCTTTCAGATCCTGCCAGATCCACACAGATGGGTCTGAGGACTTGTCACCACCACATGCGTACATCACTTCTGATAGACTTAATGGTAGGAGCACGTCCATTGATCGCAGTATATATCTCAGGCATGATGGGTACTCAGAACAAGGAAGGTTTATTGAAGATCATTGTAGACAAGAAACAGTGAGAGACGATGGTCTGTTCACACTGAGCATTGAAATCAAGGTAGGCTTTTTCTTCTTCTGAAAGTCCATGTTGTGTTTGTCATCATGTTTGCCCACAGCCTTCTGTCTCAAGTACTGCCATTCATTTCTGATGCAGGTGTTCTTCCATTTTCTATGCTTTATTTTATGCTTAACCCTTCTAATCCAGTAACACTAAAAAATGGGTCATGACCCTGTAGGAATGCTCTTATTATCAGTAATTTTACAAATCATTAATAAATGTATTTTTTTAAAATATTTTTATTTACATTTTACATTTTGTATGTGTGCTCCAGATATATAAAGATATTTAAAGGGAATATTCAGTTAATATGAACAGAGTGAAGCATTCAGTGGCATACATTCCTCTGGGGCTAAATTATATATGTATAGGATAACTCATGCTGTGACCTCTATCACTGTTACTTAAGGAAAATTGAACGTCAGCCTGGCTTTGAAGAAAAACCATTTGGTTTGAAGGACCCTTTTTCCAATGCTTTTTTTAGTTAGTATATTCATACCCTGACCTCGTAAACGTCAGCACAGGCGTGAACATAGCCAGTAGCATTAACAGTACACCTCTTAAGTGTTTAAGTGCTCTTTTCAAGAAAGATTAGTTAGTAAACAGCATCTCATCCTGGAAGCTGAAATATTTTGACCATATCAAGCGCCACGGTGGACTGGAACCCCATCCCCCCCCCCCCCCCCCCCAAAAAAATAGCCGAAGGCATGGTGCCAGGGAGGGAGGGGCAGACGCTGACCAACATGAAAATGGGAATATTATATAAGTGATTCCTTGGTCATGAAAGTGTACGAGGCTGGTGAGAGACTGAATGTCTTTCAGGCAGATCCATGATAAGACAGACGTTCACTGAAGGACCTTCTACATGATGATGAAGTGATGTTTAACATTCAAAGACAGTCTTTAGCAGGAAAGTAACCTGTTTTATTCCTACAATTTATCTTCAGCCAAAGAAAGCTTTCATGACAAAGGTCATCAGACACTCATCAGAAATAGGTCAAGTCTGTAGATTTTGCATGCATCAGCACTTGAAGGTCAGTATTTTGACTTATTTTTGTCTGTTTACTTTCTCATAACAGCTGTTTCTGTTAGTTCACTTTCTCTTAACAGAACTGTTTTTGCCAGTTCGTACTCTCTTAATGACCTTTTTGTCAGTTCGCTTTCTTATCCCTTTTCTTATTTTAATCCATATGTCCACAGAACTTTGTCATTTGTACTGTCAGTCATTTCTGATAAAAATTGTCTTTAATGCTATAATGCTGAACTGTTTGTTTTCTTCCTCTGTGTTTCTTCCTTGTTTCCCCCACCATGCGGTTCCTGTTATATAAAAGTAATTAAAGGACCCTTTTCAATGCCTTTAGGCGTATATGACATATAGGGCTAGACCTATTTTTTTATAGACCAATAGGCACAAGGTGGGTGATGTGGTCAGCATCAGGCCAGCCGCCTCTACTTTCCGGGACTGTGTCGACTGTGTTAGCTTTGCTGGGTCATTTTGAAGGATGTTTCATTTTCTCATTGAGGTGAAATCATTTGTGACCAGTCTGTCCACAAGGGATGCACTCCTGCAAGTTCACCCTGAACAGTTGTGTTGATGGTGAGATGCTCTGTCTGCAGCAAGTTGCCACCCAATGAGGCTTCAGTTAATGCTGAGCTGTCAAATGATATTTTGGTCGTCACAGACTGACCAAGGAATTGTGACTGCATAAGGCTGGTTAAGTCCAGTGTCCACATACGAGGGGGTTTCAAACAATTTAAAGTTGTACAGAATATTTTTTTAATCTGTTAGGACATGCTTTCTGCTTAGCATTTTTTGTTCCTTTTCTTAGTTGCATCTCTGACAGTATTAATTTTGTGCATATTATGTAATGTTTTGTAAGTTAAACAATAACCTTTCTTGGCTGTTATTTGTTTTTTAAATTTCAATTAATCATACCTTTATGGGGGCCTTTTCCCACTCAAACCTCTTGACTGTTCATGTGCTTTTGTCACATGGCTTTACATTGAAAAGAGTGTTTTACCCCAGTTCAAAATAAGACAGATGATACTGAGCCATTTTTACCTGTTAGAACATGTGACTGCCTTGTATGCTTTTTTTTTCTTTTCTTATGTGAATGAATTTTCTCTGGCAGCATATCATTTTAGTGTAATACACATCGTACAGTAAATTGGGACACCACCATTGAAGGGTACCCCCCTAACAAAGATGTCATAGGAGGCTACTAATTAGAGGTGTTTCCTTCTAAGTTGAGTGTGCATCTTACTGAGATCTGAAGAATCAACAGACTGCACCCCTGTGTGGGTTCCGGAGCCCTACTATAGGAAAAACAAGAATAGACCCACTGACTACCCAAAAGCATGTTGTAAGAGTCGACTAATTGGGAGCTTCCCATAATATTGTGTGTCATTAGATCACCAGTTGCAGTTGACTGTCTCATCAGCTTCCTCCACCGTTGAAAGTCAGATATGATGGACTTCATGGTTTCATGCCTAAGGCCTGTCGGATCAGTCGAGTTCTGTATCCAGATCTTTCTTGATCTGCCTCTTCTCCTCTACTGAGCCCTGTAGTATTGTTTTTGAGAGACCGTTAGAGGGATTGGGTAGACACACTGACACATTGTCTCCACGATGGTGCCATAAAAGGGGTCTAATTAGAAATTTGATGAAATCCGTATGTTGGATGGAAAGGCACATATACGCAGCCTAGCCACATCGCAGTATGCTAACCGCCCTTTAAATGGTGAAAGAAGAAAACAGAACATAACATGATCTGTTGACCTCCTTCTGATAATCCGACAGGAGAATATCAGAGAAACATTGTTCACCCGAAATGAGGGTATCCGACTGTTACTAAATAACAAAAAGTCCAGTATGTGTGCGTTGGTGAAGGTGTTGTGTGTGCTGTAAAACATTAACAATTCATTAGTGTTGCTTTAATAGTTGCATTTATGAAATCCTTCGCGCACGATGACAATCAGCCTCACCTTTATTAACATAGTTCTTGTGAAGGTAACAGATTTGTCCTTGAGGTTTGTTTATATAACAACGAAACTTCTGCGTTCTCTCTTCCCCCCCCCCCCCCCCCCCCCCCCACACAACTTTTTTGTCCAGCATTGTGTGTTTTAGTTTTTGAAGTTTTGCAATTTGCCTCAGAATTGACACTACTCTCATTTTCATACAAATACAACACAGGATTGTCTCCCCGGCACAGCACTGCCTCCCTTTAGATTAATCAAGTAACAGAAAGTATTGTGAACGGCACTCATAGAAAGAAGTAGAAAGATGGAAGAACGCACTAGACAACATAAAAATCGAAAGCTATAGTTACCGTGCATGGAATTGAACCTGTCACCTCCAGACGGCGTCTGCGCATCGCCATGAATACAAGTGCACTAAGATACATGGTCAACTAGGCACCCCAAAAAGGTGTCTTATTGGCCATGTCTACCGTACAGCTTGAAATCCACGACTATGGAATGCGGACAGAATTCATTTCAACACATTGAAATGGCACCATAGGTTACAGAAATTTATATTAACGAAGCAAATGTCGAATAACAATCACAGCAACAATTTACGAACACGGTAGACCTTATTGCTTTGTCTAGAATACACAAAACATTTAAGAAATGTATTTGATTGGTAGGTTCCGGTGTGTATACGTCATTCCTATAAATAAACAGAGGGGGAAACCATTTGAGGCCGTTAAATATTATGAATTAATCAAGTAACAGAAAGTATTGTGAACGGCACTCATAGAAAGAAGTAGAAAGATATAACACACTAGACAACATAATAATCGAAAGCTATAGTTACCGTGCCGGGAATTGAACCTGACTGTTACCAAACTCAGAACAGTCAGGCATTGACCTTCTGCTTTGCCTAGGCCCAAACAAAACACCTTGACAGTCTGGTTTTGCGGGAAACTCGATCTCCCAAACTGCTCTAGTCAGCTATTTTTGTTGTCAGGGTTTAATGATGTCTTTGGTTTCTTTTGTCCTTGACACAGTGGCGTCTTTTCGTTTGCAAATGTCCATTACTCCACATAATCCTTATAGTAGCCTTTAGCAATATCCTGATGTTGTAGTCAGAGGTACACGGACCTGCTCACGTTTCCCGGCCCATCTACACACTTTCTCGGTCTGATCTTGGCCAGAGGGTGTCACGTTGTACTGCTTTTTTTTCGAAAAGTCTCTCATGTGACCTAGGCTCAGGCTGTGGGTAGGGGTTTTTGGGTTAGGGCCAGTTCTAGATGTTCTGGGGTTGTCGAAAGCTGTGTCGTCGTGTAGTATAGAACGCGTGACATCGGCGCTGATGTAATTGGGAGTAAGACAACGGGACACCCCTCTGACGTAGAAAAGTCTGAGAAAATATTAGTAAAAGGTCAGACAGTGTGTAAATGGGCCGGGAAACGTAAATAGATGGGCTGCTGCCAAATAGCCTGCAGCTGGGATATAACCCAGCATTACGAAGCACGTTCGCAACGCCTAAGCCACTGACTATGGCATATATATATATATATATATATATATATATATATATATATATATTATATATATATATATATATATTAGCTGTACCCGGCCACGCGTTGCTGTGGCATAGTTTGGCTAAATGAAATGAAAGAAAATAGAAATCGCAACGTGTCTAATACAATCATTGTCTGCTCAGATAAGAAATAGTCTTTGATCTTCAGCCCTCGCCCCCCCACCCCCACAACTAAATCCACCTACTACCCTCTCCCTCATCAAAGGTTTTTGGAAAAGAAGACAATGGAAATCGCACTTGTCTAATATAGTTAATGTCGCAATTCTCTGCACTTTATATAGAGATAGTCCTTGTTTTCACTTGTCACGCACAATAATTGTCGTCTTGATATTAGTTCGTTAATGTCGCAAAACAAAAGTCATTCTCTGCAAACATTTATATAAGAACAAATAGAAAAAGCGTCTGTTTTTACAAACAAAATTAAATGAAACTTTGAAAATCACGTGTAAAGATAGCCTCTTTAAGTTTCTCTTAAATTAAGTCATTACCCCCCTTACCTCCCTCTTCCACCGACTACTGCTCTCTACCTCTTCGAATATTGAAAATATTACCTGTCGATATTTTTGTTGTTGCTGAACTGAACATTTACCTCCCTGTCCATCTGCGACTAAAATGGGGAGCAGGAATTTTAATAGGTAGTGAATCGGCTAGTGGAATAACCACATCATGGTGCTATTGCACTGCTATCTGTACCAAAGTGGTTGCAGAGGTGTGATTTATTTGGTTATCTTGAGTTGATATGCTAAAGCTGTTTGTATTTTTATAGGAGAGACGGAAGTAAAAGTTACAACTGTACTTGTAAATAACAAAGTAAGCCCCCTGTCGTAAAAATAGATAGAAAAGCGGAGGTAGCGTTATAGAGTCTTCGATTTACGTGATGCGCATTCTGTAAAATATAAACAAATTAGGTAATTTCCGAGATGTTCATCTGTCGATCTTGAAAATCACGTGTAAAGCTCTGATTAAGTTCTCTTAAATTTTAAATTTGTCATTACCCCCCTTACCTTCCCTCCATTCCACCGACTACTGCTCTCATACCTCTTGAGTATACTGAGCTGAGCAGATGAAATATTTGAGTCTTTGAATCATTACCTGTCGATATTTTGTTGTTGCTGTATTAGCTGACATTGACATCCCTGTCCATCTTGACTAAAATGGGGAGCAGGAATTTAAATTAGTAGTGAATGGGGGCTAGTGTAAATTTACCACATCATCCTTCAAGTACCAGTACAACTGACGGTTCTTGCTAAATATTATTAGTGTCACTGCTATCTGTGTGTTACCATCGGAGTAGACAGAGAGTCGTCGAAGATATAGTGTGTTTGAGTTTGAAAGATTTGGTTTCGCGTGGCTAGTGCTGTCGCCACAGACTGGTCAGTTAGGATGTATAAGTGATTTCACTTGCCGACAAAGAACGAGATGGTTGGAGATTGATGACGCCATGAACCTTACCGGTAGGATGATAATTTCGGTCTTCACATGAGAGCACTATGGTGTAACAGCCCAACCACAACTATTACTGCTGCTGCTACTTTAAGTGGGTAAGCAGTTACTGTGACTTAAAGCTCTCTCAGTAAATTAGTTTGCCCCCCCCCCCCCCCCCCCCCGGCCAATTCACCGACAACTCTTTCACTCATTTGAAGTAGTTGGGAGGGAAAAAAACACTTGAAAAGCAAATGAACACAGGAAAAAAACACCATAATTAGGAAATGAACGCCATGGTAAACAGCACAGCTTAAAATTCCAACGCAGATGAAATAACTAAATCTAAATGAAAATAAATGAAAATCTATAAAATTTCAGCGTAACCATGCAATCGGAAAGTTTTAAAATGCAATCATAAGTATGCGAAATGGTCAAATTTAATTATCAAATGGTTTACTCATTTACTAAACTTTTTTTTTTTTTTTTTTTTGAATATTAAGGCAACATGGCTAGTGCTGTCACCACGACAGAGCAGATGAGGATATTATTTTAGTCCGGGGTAAAAAAAAAATCAACTACTGCGTATTCGAACCCAGGTCTCCCGAACAGGAACCCAGTGTTCTAACCATTCGACCAAGCAGCCAATTAAACGGAGAAACGAAAAGAGAACTCAACTATTAGAGATATGTGTCCCTACTACAATTCAAAACCGCAGGCAATTGTTTTCTCGTAGACAGATACTCCAGATATATTAATGAAACGGCACAACAATAGAAATCGCACGTGTCTAACACGGTTAATGAAGTTAATGTCGCAGTCAATGTCTGCGGCCGACGTCGAGATAGTCCTTGGTTGCCCCCCCCCCCCCCCCCCTCCCCCCACCCCCCCCCCCCCCTCCCCCCCCCCCCTACCCCCCATCCCACCACCCCCCCATTCGAAGGTTGTTTTGAAAAAAAAAAACAGAAAAATAGAAATCGTGTTTAATATGGTTATTGTGGCAAATATAGAGATAGTCTTGTTTAATGTACCACGTTCTACTCTATGTATTAGAGAAGGCGTTGGCTGCACGTAACTCGCCGGCAAATCGCGGAAGCCTTGCGTTCTGACTACGGCGGCGCATGCGCAATTACTAGCGTGGCTATAATTAGAAATCACTAAAGTTATAAATATTAGTTTCGAATATTATGGCTTAATAGGTGGTCACCTATCTCTAACAGCGACAGGTTGAATTTCAAACCACGATGGTTCAAAATCCGGTATCAAAACAAACATATCCTGAAAATTTTAGCTAAATCGGTTCAGTAGTTTCCGAGTCTATAGGGAGCAAACAAACACACATACATTGATTTATATATATATATATATATATATATATATATATATATAATATATATATATATATATATATATATATGTGTGTGTGTGTTGTGTGTGTGTGTGTAAGTGGGCATCTGTGCTTCCCAGCTGTTATGGTGAGGGAACTAAAGGTGCATGAGCTCCATGACGTTTAAGTTGCCGGTTGGCTTAGACGTTCGCTTGTCTTTATCCCGGACAGTTTCGGCGCTGGTAATTAGCATAACCCTTAACATAGCGACAAGCATGTCATAAGAGTTACCTAATTAGGTGCTTTTTTTTCGAAGTCAGGAAGCATCTCCCTGAAAGGCGGAGAACCATTAATGTACATACAGTTAGGCCAGATCCATAAAGCGGATGTGCACACAAGACTCAAGTACAGATGCGGACGAACAACCAGAGTTTTACAGCCGGTGAACGTCAAGAAGACTAGCCGCTAATGGGTTGCCGTCTCTAGGTAAACTGGGTCACACAAGAGCCTAAGATTATACACGAGCCTATCTAAAGCTCACGTACCATATTTTGTGTCTCCGCCTTGAAGTTGTAGAAGGCCTTGTTCTCCAGTGATCATAAGAACAATGCTGATGGTAGCTGCTGGGGGGTCCATCTGTGGCCGGGTCGCCCATTGGCTTGCAGCTAGACAACTTCGTCGTCGGTCGGGATCAGGGCTGCCAATGCTGCCCCCCCCCCCCGATCTGGGTTTTTATTTAACGCCTAGGGGGGGGGGGATGTCTGGTTTTTTTTAAATATATACTTATATAAAAGTGGTAAATGTTTTGTTTCGTAACTATAAACGTTGTATATTTAACAATCTGGGTTTTTTATTTTATTGTTATATTTTTTTTCTTCAGTTCTATGTATTGCTTGGGTTTTTGTTTGGGGAAGCTGGGTTTTTCAAAAAAATCACATTGGCAGCCCTGGTCGGGATAGTATTTGTAATCTGTTTCCCTTAATCGCATCAACCCTGCAGAAGTCCTTTTCGTAGCTGTTGCGGGCAAGCAGTGCTTAGCCAAAGTATATAGCGCACATAAACTAGTCTGAATCATAACCTAAAGCATCCCTTTTTGGGGTGTGGTTGAACGTGACGATTTTACCCCCCCCCCCCTCTCCCCTTCCAGCAAAGCACAGCAGCTATAGCGGCTGGGGATGTCGGGAATGGATATGTACCGGATGGAGCAGGAAGAACCTAGTCTTGTGATTACACTGGGCATTTTGACAGTCTTTTTCGTCTTCGATCCTCCTATCGGAAAATTTATACCAGGAAGCCGGTTGTCTTGATCAAAGCTATCGTGCAGTCCATATCTCCCGGTGCAGCTTACAGTGTTGTCTTCATTGAAACACACAAAACCTGTGGAGGGAAATTCTCAGCCTAGGGCTGATCTAGGAAGTCATTTCCAGGGCCTGAACGACGTTCCCTATGTTACCGAGGCCTTCACGGGGAGCAACCTACTAGACATGTCAAAAGAGGAGAGGGGGGGGGGGGGGGGTAGGGGCTTGGTGTTGGGTACCTAATCCTGTAAAAACAGTAGCCACAAAAACCAACTAACCATGGGAAAAGTCATAAAGAGAAACCAGAAAAATTCAGCAGCCAAGACAAAGAGGAGGCTTTTCTAATAAAAGAAAGATTACACGGTGCGGAGAAAGCCAAAGGAGTCCGGATCGTCGACGTACCTCCTTTCACCTAGGAAAATCTCCAAAATTAGCAATTGAAATATTAGAACTTTGTGAGATGTATGGAGAACATTAGAGGTATTCAGTGGAAACGAAACATTTTAGGATTAGTCTTTTAGAATTCTGTGAAACTAGATATAGCGGGAAAAGTATCCCTATTTCGGGGGAAACTGTTTTGTTCCCCGGATGCAAAAGAAAAATCTCCCCACCATATGAGTGACCCTGTAACTATCGAAAGAGGGCACTAATAGAATATGAAGCTGTGAGTTCTGGAATAATAAGAGCGTATTCTAGAACAGCAAAACAGAAGGGGAAAAGACGGTGGCTTTAAGAAAAATGAGAAGAAATAACTAGAATGTCCTTGCATTTAAACCCACAGGAGCATAGAAATAAAGGCAGACCAAAAAACACACACGGAGAAGAAAGCTAGAGTGTGAAGTTAACAAGATGGGGCATGCAATAGCGAAGGCTAGATAGAATGACTTGGAGTGAGTTGGTTGAGGGCCTGTGCTCCATGGGAAAGGAAAAGTGGGGGGTGGGGGGAAGGGGTGGATAGAAGGCAGAAAAAGAAGACTCGCGATCTTCCAGAACATTCTTAACCGACCAGCCAAATAAACATTCGTACAACTGACGGTTGTGATGAGTGGCAGCCAGTCCTGGTTGCTATTTATTGTAGTTGCATTTTGATCGCTCATTCAGCGGCTGAAACAGTGTCGTGTTTGTTCCAGTTTGTTACCTTGTAGTTGAATTATTTTACAACTGTTATTTGTTTTTTGAGCCGAAACTGGTGAATGGTGAATGCATAGCTTACCTTTTCGAAATTGTTCTTTATTTAACTGGGCCTCCCCGCTTCCTCACACACACATCCTTTTGTGTGTTTGTGTTTCCATTTGTCGTCTGTTATGCTTTCCTACACTATTCGTGATAGCTATCTCCTATCTAATCTCTTTTATGTCTTTTTCTTCTCTTTCCTCGTTTTCTTGCTAGTTGTTTCTAAACTAACTTGTTCTTGTTATCTTTACTGTATTCACCCCGCCCCCTCCCCCACTCCTTATCGTTTCTTCTTCCTCTTTCATCGTTTTGTTTGGAGGAAAAGGGGGTGGGGTATGTTATTATGTCTTTCCATGAGTATAGATTGTCAGGATTTAGTTTGACCTGGCTGTGTACAGGTGCCAGATAGCCAATGTTTCCAGACAATGGCGATTAAATTAGTTTATAAGCATACGGGTAATGAATATAAGCGCAAGCGATAACTTTTCCAAAGTTGTTCATGGTTGATCAGGTTTAATTGAATTGTTGATTCAGTTTTCACCCGATCTTTTAAATATAATCTGTCTGTGCTAATTATATAGGGGTTTTTCCTATGTGTCATTAATATTTGCTGGGCCGATGAGCATAGGCTGTCATGCTTAGCCATCTCAGACGATCACAGATCCGGTCAGTGTTCTCGTCCCGCCACATCCGCATGGATAGGTCGTTTGTGTGTTTTGTTTATCTGAATTGGTGCTCTCATTCCGGCAGTTTTGTCAGTCGTTATCAAGATTTCCTGTCCATTCCTTCTGACAAAAATAAAAAAAATAAATCAATAAACACAGTCTACATCCATGTCGACTCAGCCTTGAGTGGGTACCGGCTTCAGTCGCGGGAAGTAAAGGCGGCCGGCGTGATGCTGACCACAAAACCCATCATGTGCCGATTGGTCTATTAAATATAGGTCTAGTCCTGTATGCCCTATTCGCATAGAGGCGTGGAAAAGGGTCCTTTTCATTAGTTTACTTACAGTCTGCATCTAATGTTTCCGAGTATTCTGCTTTTTTACACCGCGAATTAATGGTATTTCACCTGTGGATGCTCCACATGTTTGTGACGCATTAACGGAATCTTTGTATTGTTTCAGAGGAAATCCGGAATGTGGCCTGAGACAAGCAGCTACTGCCCTCTTGATTTGTTCTCTGGGTGAGTACTTGTGTAAAGATTGGAGCGTTTCGGGGGGCTGCGTGGTCTCGAGGCATGGTGTCCGCCTCGAATGCTAGAGGGTCCGGGTTCAGTCCCCGGTAAGGGCTGGGAATTTTTTTCACGTGGACTTGGACTTCTAGTAATTTCCTTTGGACTTTGGGTAGTGAGATCATACGCCCGTTTGCATTGTTGCGCACGTAAACGTAAAAAAAATCCTTTGGCAGTTCAAAATCGAAAAGAATAGTCTAACGGCGCTGCCCGGGCAACATTTGAAGTTACAAATCTTCCTTATTTATTTCAGGATCCTCGCCAGTGCTACAGAGCCTGTGCACTGTGCTGAGCTTCTTCGGACTCAGACTCGAGTGACAACAAGAACGGAGCCCTAATGGTTTACTAACCTTGTTCCATGCTGTTGATCCGTAGTTCACAGCCTAAACAGATTGGAACATTTCAGCTAATTTAATTTATACGGCTCGTTAGAAGAAGGAGAAAAAATGATAATTTTCTCTTAATGTTTTGTCTGCTGTACCCCCATGATTATGTTTTTGTATTATATTTAATTGCCGTTCAGCACACTTATTATTTTTTGTTTGTTGTTATAACATCTAACTCCTCTCTGTGACGCTTAACGGCATAGACAGTGGAGCAAATGGTTATTATATTATTATTAGTCTTAAACGAGGATTACGTTCCTCGAGTCTGCCTTAACTGTTTTCTGTGTTTTGGCGCGCTTGTTTCCATTGTTTTTTGTGCAGCGGTGTCGGCGCTTGTCCCCCTCCTCCCCCCACCCCGCGCTATAGACAGCAGGCTTTTCATTAAAGACTGCTAGCGCATGAGGGCAGTTATTACATAAGAGTTTGTATAGAAAAGTTGGCATCCCTGCCAAAAATGTTGGTACCGAGAGTGAACCGAATGCGTGCGCGGGTCTGCACAAAGACTGGATGGATGTGGGCGGAGGATGTATACAACTATTTATTATGCATTTTCTTGTTGTTTGGATGTTTTCGGTGGCGTGCGTGGGTCTGTGTTGGCAATGGCACTTCGTGGTGACGTATTGCAGTGTATTGACTGATGTAGGGTAGGTGTTTCTCAACTTAGATCGCGCATGACCCCCTTTTTGGGGGTCTCTCGTTCTACCCTTCAAGCTCTCAGTCACACAGCCGGGTTGAGACTTGATGAGGCCCTAAATTCTACCCGTCAAGCTCTCAGTCTCACAGCCGGGTTGAGACTTGATGAGGCCCTAAACTGAGGCCCCTACCGTTTTAAATTCTACCAGCTAAACATATATACGTTCTTAATAGGCAACAAGTTGGACTAAATAAAAACTCTAACCCAAAATAATATTAATAAAATGAGAACATTTTTGAGAAACAAAAGGTAAAATATATGAAAATTTTTTTAATAGTGCTTGGTTTAAAATTTGTAATTAGGCATTCGATGGGTGATATTGACAGTATCACGCCGTCCGCCATTACTTCCCAGAACGTTTTGTTATACCCAGTTTAGGCTGAGCCAATTTCAGTTCTGACTGGGGATTGGGGGGGGGGGGGGGGGAGACAAATCAGACTGTGGAAGACTGTCGTTCGAGGGTTCGTGTTAGACATATTCGCGTTAACGAGGATTACTGTACGGGTACTTTTCTGTTTGTTCACCATATCTCGGGGCCTACGAGATTTCATGGAAAGTTTGAAGCACATAGAAGATTCTTAATCGTAAGGCTGGCAGTTCACGTGGCACTTGACCCTTAATTATGAAGCTGAAGGAAGAAGTGTAAATGAATAGTCGGTTATAAATTACACAGTAGTTATTTTTTGTTTTTTTAAGGAAGCGCACATGTTCTCTTCCCCTCTCTTTCTCGTTTAGGAATTCGATTGGACGCAGTCAGTATTCAGTCTGTTGTGATAGGAAAGGTCCTAATTGTCCTGTACATGGTTAGAGATAAGAGGATCGACTTAATTGCAGCGGGTTTTATCCCATACGGCTCAGATCATCTCCTGTCGAGAGCTTCGAACAAAGCACGAACTCCGTAGCATAGGCAGGTCGATCCCGATGGATCTCCCTACAATGTACACTTGTAAACCGACTGACGGACGTAGATGTGAATAGAACTCGCGACTTTCTGAGCGCGAGTCGGCTTAGGTTTAACCGCTGCGCCATGGCGATCCCTAAGTAAGAGGAGAGCCATTTGAGAACCTTTACTTTTATTTAGATTTAGAGGATGCCATGTGTATAGAGATCGCAAGATTGTGATAGTTTATGGTTTGTAGGTAGAAGTGTCGAAAGGAGCATGCATTACTGGAGCAGGGCTGCCAATGGGATTTTTTTTTTTTTGAAAAACTCAGCTTAGCTGAACAAAAACCCAAGCAATTACAAAGAGAAAAAAACCCAGATTGTTAAAATGTACAAAATTTATATTTACGAAACAAAACATTTACCACTTTTATATAATGATATATTAAAAAATAGATTTCCCCCAGGCGTCAAATAAAAACCCAGATCTGGAGCGGGGAGGGGACCCAACATTGGTAGCCCTGTACTGGAGTCTACCTACGTGATTACGCGCGTGACTATACTAAATCCCTGTCTTTCGCGACGATTACCTTTGTGTGTGTTATGGAACAGCGCCCACTGTGCCACACCGCCGGTCCTTGGTAATGACATCACGCTAGCAGGCCTATTGTTGGTTTATATAACAGTATTATTGTGCCTTGGTTATAAAGAAGGCATTATCAGTGTCAGGTGAAGGGGGCAAGGTCATTATCAGTGAGTGTGAGGGAAGATGGTAGGGAGGAGAGACAGGTGCGGGCTTCTCCATTGGCTGCGAAAGCCTCAGTCCCGTTGGTTATGTGTCCTATTTGCGACGAAATGAGGTCACCGGGTATCACACTGCTTTTTAGTTTCACACGCCAACCGTTGCAGCTGTAGCTGCTGTCTTGTTTTGTTTACGCAAGAAAGCTGCAGTCTGGGTTTTGCTTTGGACAAGGAAATTAAGTTAGTTCCACGATAATCTCCCCAGCTAAACTAGGTCACGTTCTATTGATACATTTTTTAGACTCGTGTGCTGTCTGGGGGGTTACGGCTATGTTGTTTTCTTTCTAGCTTTGTCTTAAATTTACTTTTTTTTCTTCTTTCCGAGACAGAGAATGCTTGTGACATAGGTTGCAGCACTCTTTAGGGAGATGTAGGTTAGACCCAGTTTCCAAAAAAAAAAAAAAAAAATGTTTTTGGGTAGTGTTAAAAGCACTGCCGTGCTTCAGTATACACAACGCGATAACAAGGGCATTGCCGAACACACCCTAGCAGTGTGCGAAGGTTTGGTAACTGAAGGTCTACCAATCAGAAGTGCGCTAGTGTGTAACGTGGGGAGATTATCGTGGAACTGACCCGAAATTCTAGTATTTGGCATATTGAGTAACGCACTTCGTTCGCTCAGCATCGAAGAGGGAGCCCTTTTTTAAAGTTGATTTTTAGTACATATGTGAGCACAGTTATAAGTGAAATGAGGTAGAGGGAAATGAAAAGAGAAGGTGCTGGACAGTTGGACTTCCTGGCATCAAAGATCATCACGCGATGCAGGTGATGCTGACGTGGGAAACGGACGAGCAATGAACTGGTCTGTTGTACTGAATGCCCCCAGAAAGGTGGCTCTATTAAACGAATCAGATAATGATTGTGAAAACTGCAGAACTGAGGAGGCTACACAAATATAACATTAAAGGGATGAAGCAGAGAAGAGCGCTACACAGGAACCCAAAGAAGAATAGGAAACCAACACAGAACTTGTGTGATACGCCACTACACGCCAAAGGCGATACTAAAGATCGGATCTGAGACTTTTGGGCTGAATGGTTCGATGTGCGATGATGATAATCTGTCTATTAACTAACTAAAGATCATCAGTATCAGAAATTATTGAAAGTTAACGATATTCTTCTTGTTTTCGCTTTCTGATTTACACTGACAGACAAGTTCTTGTGATAAACTTGACTGTTTTTAGGAGTTCCCTTTTAGTTCCATACAACTTTAAGGACAGTATTTTTAATAGGCCAGTATTCCCTTTCTAATGGGCCAAAAAAGGGACATTCTTGCAGTTAAGCACACGCAGTCCACACGGTTGCAGTAGTAGTGAACTACTTACACGAAACCTGTACATAGTCTTGTTAAGTTTGTTATGTCCTGTCCTGGGGCATAGAATAATGACAAGCCCTTGCCAGTCAAATAAGTGATAGTCATCTCTGGCCAGATTATGTTCACTTCTGATAGACTTGATGGCCCTTTTCTTCTCAAAGTTGTTACTGCATTCTCTTCCTGTTCACATATCTGCCTCTATCTTATCAATAAACGATACCGAACTCTGTGTGGATAACCATGATTACTAGCGCCACATGCATTGACCACACTGATTTCTCATCAAATACCTTTGCAAAAACATCCCACTGTGACGTGACGGGTGGTTAAAATGTTTATAATGTTGAGTAGGGATGTTCCTCTCCACACATTTCCTCCACCAAATTAACCGAACTAAAATCTGAGCTATGTTGCTCTCAGACAAAGTCCTGGATACCCAAGAAAACAGCCATATTGGCTCGTTAAGTACATTAACATTAGCTGAACTTGGTACCCACAAGAGAAGGCAAGGAATTTTAGATGTCTATCATACTTAATGAATTATTAGACAGGGCAAGTGATTCCTCCGTCATCTACCTTCTCCCGGTGTTATTATTAATAATTAAAGAATTATTATATTATTTGAGCCCCCACCAAATGGTATTCTATCCTAACAGTTTAATTAAACATGTAAGAACAGACATTTGGAATTTAACAAACTATGTAGTTTAAAATTTGACATACAGCTTTATTTACTACAATGAAATTACCAGTTTGTTGATTTACACAAACAGTGACTGGTTAATGAAAGTGATACGCTTCAGCGAGACAAACAGCTCGGGGTTAGAGTGGTATGATAATGATGATAAAAGGTTAACATAAAGGGGTTAACT